CTTAGCTGAAGCCGAGGCCGCTGTATCGGACACACACACACACACACACACACACACACACACACACACACACACACACACACACACACACACACACACACACACACACACACTCAACCAAATTCCCATTCTGTACGGCTGCAATTATCAACCTCTTTTGCAACAACTACCATGTTGGCATGTATTCAGCGGCGGTCTATATACGCCTGATTCAGACCCTTCACCGCGTACACGCTTCATTTCCCTCACACACGCTCGCTACAAAACCCTCCATTTCATCTCGTGCGGCTGCACCGACCGCAGAATGTAATTACACACTAACCGCGGTTTGATATTTAGACTGGCTGAAGATTTAAGGTTTTATCCAAAAAGAATGTCTGTGTGGTAAAAATAGTCCCCAAGTGGTCCCGCAGCTCGGAGGAAACCAAAGGCTGTTCAGAAATGAGGAAATGAGCTTTGTTGTCGACGCTAAGGCGACCACTGCTGTTTTCGGAAATTCATCAGGCACCTTATTCACAGCCAGACTGTTTGGTTGGTGTACTGGAGTGATGGTCGGTTACCTGCCAAGGACACTTCCTGCCTCCCTGTCATCTTCTGATCAGTCCTTGAACTACTGTTAGCAGATCTGGAGTCAGATTTCAATCATGGTTAAACACGAAGGAACAAAGAAATGTGGTTAATACAGTAGGGTAGGTGAGGATGTCTGCACTCTTTTTTCTCGTTCCCATAACTTTCAAATCAGATGTTTATTAGGGCTTACGACACAAGTATTACAAATACATTAACCTCCAAAATGAATAGCCTGAAAACAGACCTAATATAAACATGCTAAATACTTGAGTGAAGAAAGCATTTTTGTTTCTTGTCAACACTAAATTAGAAGGATTTAGAACTGGAACATTTTCCTCAAATAATTGAATGTATTTACAGGTTACCTAGGTTTTAGCTATTAATTAAATGTGGCATCAGGTTTTTGAGTTGCCTGTCCATCAATCTATACATACTGTATGTCTCTAGCATTGAGAAAGTGATATCTTAGGAAAGCCTAGTTTTCACTTGGACCCCAGGATGAACTGTTGAGACGTTTGGCGTTAAAAGTCTGAGGTCAAGGTCAACTTTCTCATTTTCGTAAACCCAGTTTTTCAGGAATCCCTTTAAAAAAATGTTTCACAACTTTGGCACAAATGTCCACCTTGAAATATGAAAAAATGTCACTCTAACAAAACAAGTTTTTTTTAGCCTTTTTAACACACTTATTATGACACCAAATCCTAGCAAAACTATGAGGTGATGACAGTTCAGACAGCGGAGGCAGTGATCTACTTTCCGGTAATTGTAATTATTATAGAAATGGTTGTAAGGGCATTGATAAAGGTTGACTTTTGCTTATTTCCAACCCTTTGTACCTCTTGGGGTTCATGTACCTCTGGTCTGGGATCAGTGTATAAGACCATGGTGGCACATGTTGGTAATGGGAAAACTGTTCTTTGACCATATTGGATATCCAGATTAGGGATGTCCCGATCACCTTTTTTTGCTCCCGATCCGATTCCGATCATTTGATTTTGACAATTAGCCGATACCGATTTTTCCCGATCCGATCTTTATGCAATGCATTAAGAGAAAAAAAAGCATTCAAGTTGTCCCTTAAGGTTATTTTTTTATTTAAATTGGATATTCTATCCAACATAGATATAGCTTATTTTTTTCACAGCAGCATTGGATCAGTTCAGTTGTGCAGCATTGGATCAAAACAAAGTAAAGCTTATCAGTACTCGTTAGCTTACTGCTACAATTAGACACTGCACCCTGCCCACTCTGTTGCCAGATTTGAGAGAAATAAGCAACCAGGTCTATGAAAACAAGCCCCAAAGAAGCAACACATACATGATGTTGTGTAATTTGAAACCAAAACTAAGGCCTCAGGATGACTTTAAGACTTGAACATGGTCATTTTTGTTTTGTAACATTGAATACAAAATTTAAAAAAAAGTATTTTTAAAAAAAAAAAAAAAAAAAATCCCGATCCCCGATTTTTTTCTCCCGATTCCGATCTTTTGAAAATCACGTGATCGGCTCCGATCCCCGATCACGTGATCGGATCGGGACATCTCTAGAAATAAATATAATTGTATTAATCGATCTCCTTCTGAACTATTCTGAAAAACCGGCAGAAACTCACTCAAGAACAAACGGCTTCATGAAACGTCCTAAAATCCTATCCTTAGTGATCCCTATATCCTGGCTCAACTGGTAGGCTCATCACCTACATTCTCACCATTCTCACCACTACGACCACTCGTAATAGACCGAAACCTCCTTACTGACACTACCTGGACTTCCTCAAATCTCCAAAACGTCCCTAATGACCACTTGGTGTACTGTAAATTAAACCGCTAGAGAATATCAACTGTATTCTCTCTTAAAGTAGCACCTGACCCTTCGAGCCATAGGACCTCTCCTAAGTAGAGAAAACATCTGGCCCCCATCAAGGACTCTACCTTAGTAACCACTAATTGTCAAACCTTCTACACCCAATGACCTCTTAGTGGACCTGAAACCTCCCTTGAGACATTTGGATTCTAACGGACTCCAAATGTCCTAATGAACCATTTGGTGTTCCTAAAGAAACCTAGAACATACTAATGACATCTTAAGAGAACCTTACTTCTTAAACCTAAGCCTGTAGTGCTGAGCTCTTAGGGCGTCACGACCGGTTCTCCTAACTCAGAGACATCTGGTAACCATCAGTGCTCGCACTCATCGCAACAACCTTCGGTACCACAAGAACTCATTTATTGCTCGAGCCTCGAAACTCCTAGATGACAATTTGAGCATCCTCGGTTTCACATCAGAACACTTCCTACAGACCACTTGGTGTTCCTTAAAGAAACCAGAGCGCTGAGCCCTTTGGCCATAGGTCCTCTAAAAAGGCGGTGCTTTTCAGAAAAACATCTGACGCCTCAGACCAAGATTCAATGCATATATAGGCATATTGAGCTAGCCACACTGTAAACCGTTTCATTTTCTGTTACTTTATTCATCTTATATCAAGGAGAGGGTCGAGGGGCTGTATTAACTAGTGGATGATGAAGAGGTCTGATTCTGCGTTGAAGCGCTGACTCGAGTGCTGCTGAAATCTCTCGAGTGTTTGGATGTAAAGGCTTCAAAGTTTGAGGAAAAAATAAAATAATGGCTGGTTGGGAGTTCAAGAGATTAGTAGTTCTGTCTGGGAGTTTCTGACAGGCTGGAGGAGCCTGCTGGCCCCCACATCCCCACTCAGAGAGGGGAGGCAGAGGGTGTCGTGTGTGTTGTGATGGTTGTGTGTGTGTGTGTGTGTGTGTGTGTGTGTGTTGTGTGTGTGTGTGTGTGTGTGTGTGTGGTGTGTGTGTGTGTGTGTGTGTGTGTGTTGTGTGTGAGGAGGGGGAGGAGTCAGAGCCAGGCTTCAGGAGTAATGGATAATATTGTAACGAGATTACGTGAATAAGGACAGGCAAGGTTTCACTGCAATTACATTAATAGCGGATGAACCTCAGATTTACTGGCTGTACATACTTTAAAAAGGGAATCTAACAGGGTTAGAGTGTTAGCATACATTTTGAATTAAACGATGAATAGTATATACAGGTAGACGCACTGCCTGCCGTTCTTTCTGGTTGTCTCTTTTGGCCTCTTTCGCTCCTGTTTTGTCTATATTCGTTTTTTTAATGGGGGCAGTAGGGCCCTCCAGATTTTACTAAACCCACATCGTCTCTAAACTTTGATTAAATGTGTTCCGCTTCCCAGCCTTGTACACCTAGTTTTCTTGTATCTTTGTTTTCTTTGCATTGCATTGCTTGCTCCTCAGCGTACCGACAGTCTCGGTTACCATATCCTCGTCATGTTGATTCTCCAGATTCGGTACATCTTTTGGACATGTTCTTGTTATTGTCACCGTCTACTTTTTTTAACGTAACTCCTTCCTGTGTAGGCCGCCTCGAACCGATTCTGGAGGTGATGTGCTTCCGCTGCGAGCGCCTCTTCTTCTCTCTTCTCTTCTCTTCTCGTTGCTCTGTCCTTTCCAGGAAAACTCCTCTGCCATCCTTCACCACCCACCCTTTCATCTCGGTCCGCTGACCGCGTTCCGCCCGGAGGGGCGTCTTGCCGTCATTTAGCACATAATAATCGAGAGAAGATAAAAGTTTTTATCGTTGAAGCACGAAAAAGGAAAGGACACTCCTCTGTGAGGCACAGGCGTCTGGTGGGCTTATTCGCCGCCGCCCGGTGTTCCTGTGCCGGCAGTGTATGGCCGGCGAGCCTTGCGGGGTCTCGCTGAG